ATCAGTACTAGTACTGATCACCTTCAAAACCACCTCCTGCTGCTACACAAGTTTAAACAAAACAGATGAACAATTGTCAAGATGAAACTAAATTACTGATGAACAAAAAGATAGCTTGTTGGTAAAGTCAGAAAAAAGCACCGCAGCCATTTGGAAGAATGTAAGAACACCAATTACACAAATGAACAAGGAAACACCAATGAACAAGGTTTTTTTGATCGAATAATTAAGCATATATACTGTGTGTTAGTCATTTTAATATCAAATCATTCCCATTTTTGTTGTCAATCGGTTTCTCAATGAAATCATCTTTCACAATCAAATCATTCCCATGTTTTTGTTATTCTTACAGCCGACCATAGTTTTAAATGAATTTAATTTTATCAGATGGATTGACAAATACTGTTATTTTTCTGAATTTTGTTTTTGTACTGAAAATAAGTCATATAAAATTATGACAACCTCCCTGGATCACGTCCTCTTTTTGTTGATGACGGCTCCCTTTACTTTCTCTTCTTCTCTCTCTCTCTCTCTCTCTCTCGCTCTCTCTTGAGTAGTACATAGATGGGCTAACTGCCACTTCATAACCTACACCTTACTTAAAGAAAATTTAGCAAGAAAACAAAATACCACCACCTGCTGCTTCACTAGTTCAAACAAAACAGATGAACAATGGCCAATATGAAAGTAAATTGAAGAAAAAGAGAGCTTGTTGGTTAAGTCAGAAAAAAGCACCCCAGCCATTTGGAAGAATGTAAGAACACAACTACACAAATGAACAAGGATAGAGCAAGACAACTTTGGCCGTTTCTGAAGGTTTTGATTGACTAATTAGGCATATATATTGTGTTATTTTTTTAGTACAAGTGATAGTCTAAATTAGATGGGAGAAGAGAACGATTAATAAAAAATATATTCATAGAAGAGGCCATAGAAGAGAACGATTACAAATCTTTCCCAAATCTATATTCATTTATCAAATATAGAACAGACACGTATTTTCACTAATAATTTATCAAATATGCGCGTGATTTTAATAGCATGGTAATTGAAGACTTGAGAGAAAGATGATATACACTAATAAAGCGGGAAAATAAATCATAATCTCATTATAATACAATTGTTGGGTAAATTACTCAAATGGTCCCCAAACTTGTACGCGATTTACATTTTGGGGCCTAAATTAAATTTTTCGTTCAAATGGTCCATCAACTCTATATTAATTACTCAAATGGTCCCACCGTCTAATTTTCTGTTAGATTTAACCAAATTTTAGGGTAAATACGACTTTGCATAATTAACAAATAAAATAGGGTTAAAATAAATACAAAATTAGAAAATAATTGAAGAAAAAGAGAAAAAAAATCATGAGACCCAAACCCCCTCCCTTCGATTTCTTCTCCCCCATTCCTCAGACTTCTCCAATTGCTGCGTTTGTAAAAGATGGTTTGTCAATGGACTTCAACCATCCAGCCCAACAATTAATGTCCAAAATAATACTAACAAAGGTCTGAAGGAGGATGGAGAAGGTTGCTGAAGAGACGCAGAGACGCAGAGGAAGAGAAAAGCTCCTGAGGAGGTGAAGGTTGCTGAAGAAATTGCTCGCCTTTTTGGTGAAGTGAGTGGTGGGAGTGTTGGCTTTAGTATTGATGGCATAAATCCCCAAAACCCTCGCAGCAATTTCTGCGTCTTGGCCGAAGACCCGGTACTTGTACTTGGAGGGTGAGAAATTGACAGTGACAGTGATTTTGGGAGGTGGGGTTGGCGGGTGATGGGGTGGGGAGGAGGGTGGTGGGTGGTTGTCTCTCAACAACAAAGGGAAATCAAGAGGGAGGGGGAGAGGGTCTGGGTTTTTGGTTGTCAATCGGTTTCTCAATTAAATCATCTTTCACTATTCGTTCTTTTTCCTTTTTCTAATGATGTAAGAAGTCAAAATTCGAATCCTCCTCTAATTAAAATAAGTAAATCATCTCCTTTCTAATTAATAAAAAATATTGATAGATATAATGAAGAGACCATAGAAGAGATAACGATTACAAATATTTCTAAAATCTGTAATCATTTATCAAATATAGAACGGACACGTATTTTCATATGCGCGTGATTTTAATTGCATGGTAATTGAAGACTTGAGAGAAAGATGATATACACTAACAAGAGGGAAAAAATAATAATAATCTCATGATAATACAATTGTTTATACATGAAATAAAACAGTCAAGAACTCATGGGACAAAAAATATTCATTAATAACCGTAAAAGCAAATTATGTACCAAAACAGATCCCTGCGTTTTCTTAAGAAAAACAAAATACAAGAATCAAATGAATGTTAACAAGGAAAAGAAAAAAAGCCGGAAAAAAAACACCCTCGGAAGACAATAGTACATTAATTAACAGCTATTTTCTTTTTTTCTATCCACCTCTTCTTGGCATTCTGAATTTCTTCTTCCCTCATCCTCAAGAGTTCGAGAAGACATTGATGATACTGCACATCAATGGCATCAAGCTCCCCCTTCAGCTCATCATACCGATCTTTGTCCACTAGAGACAACTCAGATAAGGAGCAAATGCTTGACATGTCAGGGCATGCGTCATTCATAACAACAGAATCACCAGAACCAGCTTCATAGCCAATTTGTCAGCCCGCATGAACTGTTAGCTCCACATGATGAACTTTCAGATGAAGGTTTCCAGCCCGGTACAAGCTTCATAATCAATTTGTCAATTAACTCAACTATGACAGAGACAACTTCATGTGAAAGATCAAGTTGCTCAACCATTTCCCCAGCAATTGATATTGCAGTATCGGAATCAAGGTAGAACTCAAAATGGATATTCCTCACACGACCTGTATAGACAAATAACATTCAGGTTCATTTTATGAAAAATAAGGGGAAACAATTAACCCATTTTCTTGGCAGATGCACTTACCACAGGTATCAGCAATGCGCAAAGTTAAAGAGACGGTATTATCTGTATTTTGTTCGGCTCTTAACCTGAACTCATTATTCTCCGTGAACCTCCCAAACTCCAGAGCTGAAGAGTTAGAAGTTTCATTGACACTTTTCCTACAAGATCCAATAGAAAACTTCTGGTCGTTAGTATCTACGTCCATAGGGCGAGCTTCGGCCTGTGGCAAGTTCACCAACTTGGGTACAAGATTGGGTAATTGCGAAAGATCACAACTGCGCTCCTTCAATTAAATGTAGCATCATAATAAGATTTGAAAAAAGAAAAAGAAAGAAGAGATGAACCAAAAGTCTGAAAGAAAATGCTTGTATAATAAGAGAATGTAACTCCGCCACCACAAGGATCAACAGCAGCAAGTTCATAACCACAGTAACTGTAAAATATTTATGTATGGTACACCGCCTATCAAGGACTCATAACAGCACTTGAGCTTTTTTCTCATCTTAAAACTACATGGAGGTACACACATTTGACAGAGTTGGAACACATTTGACAGAGTTATAAGTTATAACACATTTGACAAAATTGATGAGGGCTGGGCAGGATTTCATCTCAATATCTCAGTACGGATGGACGAGACAGGGGACGCTGTTTTGGACGAGTACTTGTGATGTATCTAATAGTTACTCAAACCGACCATGTCAACGTCAACTGGTGTTGGCTTCACTTCGGAAGCAGCAAAGGGTGCATCTGGAACTACAGGCTCTGCAAATTGTGTGGGCGTAAACTTTGGTTCTGTTACTGAAAATGGATTTCGCATTTGGGCAGCACTAGAGTCTACTTTCCATAGCAGAGGGCCTGGGTGGGGAAGCAGGCTGCACCTCCACATCCGGATAAGCAGCCTTAAATCATGCACGCAGGCCTTCATCAACCAATCTTACACCACTCAGTTGATCACCGAGTGACATCCACCTGGGACCAAACAGTTCAGAATAAAGCATAAAAGCTTGATTTTCAAGTAAAGGCCCCACAGACAACAAGAGAGAATAGACTATGGTAAAGGCTTTTTTGTGTGTGGAGAAATACGATGGTAAAGGCTTTTTAGGACAGTAAAGGGTTAAAATGGCTATCTACCCTCATTAGCATGATACTCAACTTTTCTTACTTAAAGAGTTGCATTTTCGACTTAACCCTTCACACTTACCTTTGGTTCTAAGAAAACCCCCAAAAACAATAGAAGCCGAATGCAAAAGGAAAAAAAAGGAAAAAAACAATCGTACAGGCCTTATAAATACGGGAAAGGGTTATTACCCACATTAGCATGATACTGAGCTTTGCTTACTTGCACTATCAAAGAAATTTTAACCTACGGAAAACCCAAGACCATGCTAGATTCAGATTGTCACCGGTTTCGTTATCAATTTAAGCCAAAAATCACAACATACAACATTGTTGATCAACAATAACGACGGAATTTCATTTAACAATTACAGGCCGTTAGTCAATAAAGCATACCCTGCATGAGTATTGTGCATGCGAGCAAACAGTTCCAGCTTTCTAGTCCTTGGACTTATCTTCTCCAGCAAAGGTTACATCTGCAGGAACGCATGTATATTTAGCCAAATTTTAACAAAACTAAACAGATAAAAATACAATAAAGACGATAATTATTATAACATTACGTGGTAGAAGGCAATAACTTCTAGATCACCACCTCTTAAATTGTAAGGGAAAAAGTACAATTATAATATAGTTCATCTGGTAAGCTCACTATGAAGAACTATATTTTGCATAGATATTTCACAGCACAATTATAAGAAGCATATTCCACTAACCTCATCTGGCTTACGGCTTGTCTCTATAACCTCGACAATACTGACATCAGTATCAATATTTCTATTTACTAATGGTTCCCCTTTTATTCCAACAAGGCAATGCTCCTTGCTATGATTAAGCCAGTGGCCAGTCCGCCCTGTTCTAATTATTTGTTGAAGTTGATTAGTCTTAAACCAAATTAGCTCCTCGATGCGCTTGTATCCCCAAAGTTCCAAACTGCAAGAAGAATGGTGATATTTCTGTGAGTGAAAGTCAAAGAATAAGCAGATCCAATTTAAGCATATATGGTTATAACTTATACATTTGATGCAACAGTTGACAGATGGTCAAAGTACACACATACCATTCACGCCCAAGCTCCATTGCACGCCCAGTGACCCAAAGGAAAATCAGACCATCTGTCTGCAACGCGGGAACATTAAGATTGCGCATTTCATCATCAGCCATTGTCCCATAGGACAATTCCATATGAATGTCCCACGGTGGATCTGCCATTATTACTCCAAATTGCCCTAGAATGTCCATTCTAAAGTTGCAGATATCACAGTTAATCCATTGTGGTTGACCAAGTTCAACCTCAGAACAATATTCAGCATGCTGAGGCTTCAATGGTTTATGGGAATTGAGAGCTGGAGCCCCCATCATGATGTATGACACATCTGGTGTTGGATCAAGCTCATAGTGTACATACTTGCATGTCTAACAATGGAGACAACAATGTGTTACTTTATGAAAAATAGTCACTAACATATAATTAATTCCTCACTCAAGTAAACAAGGTAAACTTTACCTTCATGTGACGACAAGTATCCAGAAAAGAGCAGTCTCCTAAATTGACATCCATATGTGGAGCAATTATTCGCCTAAAATGAACCTGAAAGGAGAAAATAAAATGCAATGTGAAAAAAGCACAACAGGTCTAAGTACTAAGATTAAAGTAATTTGCAGTGATTTTAGAATAAAAACTAGAAATACAACCAGCAAAAGGAAATGTAGAACATCTCAAAACAACTTTGAATAAGTTCACACAAATTATAGTTAATAGAACTGAACTAGCCAGTGTGCGCATAAATTTCAATTTCGGAAACAGGCAAAACTAAATCCAATGATGCAATCCTCTAAAGTTGGATGCTACAAGCCAACATTAAATCAGAGCTCAATCATTTAGTTTGGTTACACTTTCTAGCAAGATCGTTTCAGCACATTATTAGGTAGTTAAGAGACCCCAGTGCAAAACATAAAACTTAAACTAGACGCGTGCTATGAATTGAAATTGTACAACATCAAACAAAATAATACGCAAGAGGCAGCATTCTGATCACTATTAATTTCAAGACCTAAGAAGTCATGATCAAAGGCATGTTTTGCACTTGTAAGAACAGTCAATAGACTATATTTCTTAGCGACCTCCTCACATGCAAGTAAGGAATTAGACTGGCGCCGGCAGTCCTCTTTTGTTAGGGATGTGCAGTATTCCTTCAATTGTGAACCACCTTTAGTCTTGAACTGAAACAAAAAAAAACATCAATTGACTTCAGACTTTCCTGCTGATGCAGCCAACCCAGTTTTAGCATTTTTTATGCCCAAGCAATGAGTCCATCGAATAATTGAGTCCCAGTTATAACATAAAGAACAAACTGTAAGCAAAATAATATGTTCACGACAAGCCTCCTACTCATTGATTACAGAACCCAAAATCATTGCTTTGGTGCTCTTGGTCAATAAGCAGAGAAGAGAACACAAAATTTAAAAATATCACATCAATACTTATAATGTCTAAAAGCATAAACGGTCCTTGTGGTTCCAAGTAATTTTTCGGTGTTACGCAGTGTTACCAATCCACCCGTGTTTTAGCACGTGTATATTTAGTAATAAACCTGTTGCCACCACGTGTTATAATTTCGGGGCTTGATTAGTAAGACCACGTGGTTGTGGCATTACTGTGACACATACCCTATATGACAAGTCATGTTGTTTAGTATTGTTAATATTAACTCTTGTGGTCTACATCTGTTACCCATTTTAGTTACATCTCCTAATTCCGTCAATTTTTGTAACCGGTCATCCACGTGCACATCAGGTGCAGGAGCATTATGGTCATTTTCCACCCATTTCACTACTCACAAAGGATCCATGTGGTTTACAATATACATTGCGAGTCTCTTTGGAGACAAGTTGAGTGGAAGGTAAGTCATGTGGTCTACGCTGGTTACCAAGTTTACTCAAATCTCCAATTTTGTTAATAACACACATTCATGGAAAGTAGAGACTTACTAAAATTTGGTAACGGAGTAGACCACAAGGGTATTATTAACAAAATTAAAGCCGAAGAACTTATGTATAAACCTTCGACATATAGAGTAAAACACATCACCATTTGTGATCTTAAGCCTATTTATAGCTTAAATAGCAGATAGGAAATATTTTTTTACATATACCAGCTTTCCAGGTTATTGACGCCAAAAAAACTTTCCAGGTTATGCAAAGAACCAGTTAAATGAGTCTATTAAGAACAATACAAGTAAAAGTATTGACATTTGACAAACCTTGGCAGCCACAGCAGTCTCCTTAGCAGTTGGCCGGTGAATCAGGTCCAAAAGCTCCTCACCAGTTTTTGATTTTTGCAACTCCTTAAAAGTCTTCTTATTCAACAATGCCTCAAGATCCTTCATTTCCTCCTCTTCACTCCTAGGCTTATGAGACATCGAATTGGGGCTATCCATTGTTGCATTTGGCCCCAAACTACCAGCTCTATGCATTGGAGGAACACCACTCATCCCTCTAGGCATGCCCATCATGCCCATTACTCTAGGACTAGGAGCACCCCTTGGACCCATCAATGAACCCGGCGGTCCACTCCCAGGAAACATAGGTGGCAAACCGGGCCCTCCCATTCCAAACACTCCACCACCATTACCATCAACCCCAGTAGTCACCACTTGCTGTTGACTCTGATTCTGACTCAAATTCCCATTCCCATCTTCCAAATTCGAATCTTGACTCTGAAACTGCTTGCTTTCAGGCAATTCCTTCATCAGCCGAGTCCGGTCAATCCCCAAAACCAAAACTCTCGACTTGCCACTCACCACAAACTCCTCCAACTCAACGCCACCATTCTCTTCCGCCATTGACCTCAACGCCATTTCCACCGCCATTGTGTAAAAATGTGCTATAATTACAAATGATGATGTGTAATAGAGGACGACTGACTGTAGCATCTTTTGACAAAATCATCCATATATACACAATATGTTATATTTGATACAAAAAAAACGTGAATAAATGTAGATAAAATTACACACAGAAATTACTAGCTCTGTCGCTTCATTATTCCGTGGCATGCATGAAGTGAAAGACTGAAAAGGACACTACTTGAATGCAAACACCTACCCACCCGTTCTAAATTCTCATCCCCGATCAAGATACCAACCAGTCAAAGGCCAATCAACCCCACTCCATGGCCATCCAAACACACCGGAATCAATGGAATATTCATAGTAAATTTAAAAATAAAAAAAAAGATATGACAAAATTAAACACTCTGTAATCTATTAACATACATATTATATTTTTGTATTCTTTGTTATGAAAGTCTCATAGGTAAAATTCTCTCCAATTTTAATATTTTCATTGATTTGTCTCCATAAGAGAAAAATTTGTCTAAATGAAATTCACCCTTTTACGAATAAGATGAAGCGAAAAAAGTCACAAAGATATCATTTGATAGATAGGTTGATTAGCAACAAGATGGATTCAACAAGATGGATATGATAATGCTGTCGAATATCATGTCAAGCTGCTTCCTAAAGTGATAAGCAAATGATAATATGCAAGAGACCCAGCTTTTGATTTAAGGGGGCCCAAGAGCTATAGATGTCATCATCAACATAAACCAACCCGGCTTCCTAAATTGAGAAGCAAATAATGTGCATGAGACACTCCCTTTAATTTTGTAAGGGGTCCCAGGCAGACATAGCCCGGCTTCCTAAACCAACTAAAACCGTTGAAGGTACATATCTTTTCTGTTTTTTGTTCGAAAAAGGTACATATCCAGTCACCTTATTTTCAGCATCCGGAGCTTCAAGTGTAGGCAATGTAGGTTCACCTATTCCCATGTCAGTTTGACCTTGTACATCTCCACTACCTTTGATTCGCTTCACCCCGACCTCTATTTTTGCTGCCGAATCTAATGTCTCCTTCACATCCCTTGTTCCCTGTACACTCAATCCAACTTCAGGCTGTGGGGGTTCAAGTACATCACATGAATCTTCAATTTCAGTTGGATCATTCTGTAATTGTACCATAATACTCTCTTCAATTTGATAGAGCACAGAAACCATTCTATCTCTCACATCCCTTGCTAAATGCACTCTCAATATATTTAACAATCCTTGAAGTGATTCATCCAATCCAAGAAGTTTGTTTGCTAATTCATGCCTTTTGTAGCTAGTCCACGGACGAACCTTGGAGCACTTGTGAAGTAGCTCCACACCCTCTTCCATTTGAAATCTAACCTTTTCTAATTCCTCCTTTGGGAGATTCAATCCCTTGTTATACACTGCTATTTCTTCTATTAATGGTTTTAACAAGTCTAGCGTGGATTTGACATCTTCGAGAGGGCGTTTAAGCATCATAGTCTTGTCCTTCACTCGCGCAACGGTATCAAACAGCACTCCTAACACTGCTCCTAGAGCGGCAGCCCCTCCTACTCCGCCTAATGGCGCCACTTGATGCCCTCCCTTCCCTTGCTGTATCGTCGTGCCTGTGTTGCTTCCTGAAGACCCTCCCACATCCCCTGCTTCCTGCTGCACTTTCAGAATATCTGACACTTTCCTTTCCAAATCATCTTGTTTGTCACGGATCTCCCTATTCAAACGCAAGACCTCCTTCACATCGTCTGCTTGCTGCAGCTTCAGTCTCTTTAACAGTATTCTAAGAGACTTATTCAACTTAACAAGTTGGTCGCTGTAACTAGGCGTTGTGCAGTTGCAGCAGCTGCACCATGCAAAACAATTCCACACACCAATATTTGACAGCTTCCTAACAAGCACTATGCCCTCCTCCATTTGTCTTTGTAGGCTCTCGATATCGTCGGGAGGCCTAACTCTACATTATGATCTCTATCTGTTGGACGATGCGCGGCCGTAGAGATTCTAGAGTGAATTCAAGATGTCCAAGGAGGGGTTTATACCGCAAAACAGTCCTGCCCATCGATTGCTTAACGACATCATACAGTGCTCCGAAGAGTCTTCCTATGGCAGCCCCTCCAACCAAAGCCAGTGCCATGGCCACAACAACAACAATAACCCAGCGGTTCTTTTATATGTTTCAATCTAAACTTACTCACAGAACTTTGTATATGTTTCAATGTAAAATCCTGCTCTACCTTATTGGCGATCAGTTGGCTTCTTCAGACCAGTTTCGCTCAAATCCAGGGGCCTTGATTAACTCTTGAAGCTAACATGAATCTTGTGGGTCTCCAGCCTCAAAGAAGCTCCGATCACAGAATTGCCTCTCTGTTGGACTTTCTTTCCCCGGTTTCTTGTTGGAGTTTCTTGCCCCTCTGGTGAGGTTGGGTTCACCACCCAACCTGTTCGATGAATTGACTCAACCAGATGGAGGGAGAGAGCAACGGAGGAAATAAGGCACGGTCTTTCAAATATTGGAGTCCGCTGTCTAGATTGGTACCGAGTCCAATGTTTCAATATACCAACACCACTTAACAGACATCTAACGGTGTTAACCTTCCACTTTATATATATGGGTTAATAACCTAAATGGTCCCCAAATTATTGCCCCAGTATCATTTTGGTCCACCAACTAAAATTTTCAATTCAAACGTCCTTCAACTTTTTATTTTGTACCAAGATGGTCCATCCGTTACAGATTCCGTGACTTCTGATCACGCGATGGCCATGTGACTGAGTTTTGAAGGGTATATACGACTTTTTGAGAAGCTAACACAAAACTCCCGGGTTATTGATTTCAATGGTCTCCCAACTATTGCTCCAATATCATTTTGGTCCCCAAAACTCCCATTTTCTTCTACTTCCTCCTCCTCCCAACTGCCACTAAATTGTTGAAAGATTCACTGTTAGCAATTCAGCAAGTTTCAATCTTTATGTCGGCCATGGATGATGGCATTCCAAGCTTCGCAAACATACACGAATCACATAAAATCCTTGGGCGGAAGCCATAAAAGAATGTCGAACACAAGTTCCGGTGGAATGTATGGGGTGGTTGTTGAAAGCTTGGGTTTAGGGTTAGAATTTGGGGCCATTTCAATTTGTGCATCAATGGATTCAACACTCAACATACTCTCAGAGTCAACAGAAAAATCTAATTTCTTAATAGCTCTTCACCTATAACAAGAACCCTAACAATCAAATTCAATTTATTTTATTTATAAATAAAGAAGAAAAGAAATTAAGCACAATAACAAACCTTAATGCTTCCGATTATGCCTCTGGCGCCTGTGTCTTGCGAGTATCCGATCAGAAAGAAACAAACAGGATGATGAAGAAAATGAAGAAGAAGATGAACGAAAAGAAAAACCTTTTCTGGAATTTCTTCACAACTGTTACAATTTCTGGAGTTAGACTTAGCTCTAAACAGAATTAGTAACTAAAACTAACCTAGCTGCCTGCCTGCCCTACTCCCAAATCCCTCAATCCCCATCCCCCGCAGCTCCCCAACCCCAACCCCTCGGCACCAGTCACCTCCTACAACCTTTCGCCGCCTCACTGTTGGACGAAGCTGTGGCTCCAATGGTGCTCAGGAGGATACTCACCTAAAAATACGGTTTTGTCCCTCAATTTCACGGAATAATAAACAGACTTTGACGGATGGACCATCTTGGTACAAAATAAAAAGTTTAAGGACGTTTGAATTGAAAATTTTAGTTGGTGGACCAAAATGATATTGGGGCAATAGTTTGGGGATCATTTAGGTCATTAACTCTTATATATATAAAGTCGGTGGCTACCTAGAGAGACATCTAACGGTGTTAAACTTCCACTTTTAGTTAATGGATTTTGAAATTGTATGGCATGTTACAACTCTGAAATGGTTTGATGTGTTGGAAAATTAAGAGTATGTAGGATGTTGTGGAATTTTTTAGTTATAATTGGATTAATAAAATTGAAAAAATGTAAAATGTAAAATAAAAATGGATTCGGCTTCGGCTTCGGCCTAAACCGCCCAAACTGAATGGAATTAGTATAAAATTGAATTTGAGACTTTATAGTTTGCTAATGCAGAATTACATATATATGTGATTTAAAAGCCTGAAAACTAAAGCAAAAGATCAAATATAATATTTGTTTACAGTAATTATTTTCACTTGCTCTCTCTCTCTCTCTCTCTCTCTCTCTCTCTCTCTCTTCTTCTTCTTCTTTCTTCTGATTTTGGTTTTTTGGCACACCACTCTCTCTTCAATTCGCTTGATCAATGAAACCAAGCCTTCCCTCACATCCCCAAACTGCTTCCTCACATTCCCTGCTAGCCACGCCCTCAGTATATTTAACACTCTTTGAAAATCTTGATCCAATTTGGTACATTCAATTTGAGTTTGGTTTTGTCCCACACCACTCTCTTCAATTCGCTTGATCACCGTCTCTGTTTCGTGGCACTTCCTCACCTTCTGTGCTTGCCGCATCTCCAGTATAAATAAAAGTCCTTGAAAATATTGATTCAATTCAAAAAATTTGTTGGTATATTCGTACTTTTTGCATCTAGCATGCTTGGAGCACTTGCGAACGAGTTCTACACCCTTCTCTATTTGTATTCTAACAAATTCTAAGTCTTCGTTCGGGAGATTCAGCTCTGCTATCCCTATATATGGCATTAAGAAGTCTAGCGTCAATTTTATATGTTGGAGGGTGCATTTGAACATGTTATTCTTGTGTTTCACTTTTACAACGGTATCGAACATCATCCAGAATAATACTCCTAGAGTTTGCCCATGCACTTTGGTTTCTTCTTCATTACTTGCTGAAAATTCTTGCACATTCCCTGCCGTTAGCACTCTCAGCAAATCTAAGAGTCTTCTTTCCCATTCATCTTGTTTGTCGTCCGAAAGCGAGCACTCCTTAAGATCCCTTGCTTCTTGCAGCAGCTTGTGTAGTATGGTGAGAGACTTATTCAATGGGACAAGTTGGTCCATGTAACTAAGCTCTATGTAATTGCACCAATTGTACCAGATGCAACAGTTCCATAGACTAATAGGCTTTTTTTTATACGTTTCCCAGGGTATCCCCCGCGCGACTGCGGAGACTAAATCCCTCAAGGTACGGTCAGGCGCAAAGCGGGGACCTCTCCCAACAGAGTCTGCTCTATTTGCAAGCGCCTGGAATCGAACCCAGGACCTCTTGTTTAAAGGATCCAAGCCCCTTCCACTTGAACCAACTCTTGTTGGTTAGACTAATAGGCTTTGATAACTTGACAACAAGCCTTTGTGCCGTCCTTCATTTGTCTTCCAAGGCTTTCTAATTCATCTTTGAACATACCCAATTTGACGTTGTTTTCATTAGGCATGGGCATGGTTTGGTTCGGCCCTATTCTCAAGCAAAATTGGAACTGAAATTGATATTGTTCACAGGTCCGGTCCGGTTCAAATTTTAACAAAAATGCCAAAGAACCAATTTAGACCAGTTTAGGTCCGGTTTGATTTCGGTTTTCATACTTTGAACCGGCTCTTTAGCCTAGCTGACATTTTTACACAAAGCAAAGTGAATCGCCAAATCCATACAAGAAAAACCATATCTGAAAATTAAAAGATACCAAAAAATAAAAAAAATAAAAAGAATAAAAAGGAAAAAGTAAAAATAAATAAATAAAAGGAAAAAGTAAAAAATAAAATAAAAAGAATGAAAAAAACTAAAAGAAAAACAGGTTAGGCTTCTATATAAGCGTTGATGGGCCCAGCACTACCAAGACATATAAGTTTAGATGAGTTGACACGTAGCCATCTCAAAATCCACCAAACCTCCAACGCAAAGCTCGGACACCCAATCCAAAGGAGAAAAATATCATCCCTCTCCGAGCATCCCTTCTCTCTCCTCTCAACCATAAACTCCCCAACAAAATTTACTTTGCATCTGACTACTTTCTCTGAATCGTTTTCGTTAGTATCAAATCTCTGCTTTCCCTTGAGTCTATCAAGTATTTGCTCTGCTTTGCAAAAAAAAATGGCAACTGCAGCACAAGCTGTGATTGCAGCAAACACATTTACATGCACATTCCCTACACAAAGGAGCATCTTCTTTTCCAAAAGAGTTCAGAAAGTTAATCATCTCACAGTTAGAGCTTCCACTGAAGAAACTGACTGCAATGTTGAAGAATGTGCTCCTGACAAAGAGGTGACCTCTCTCTCTCTCTCTCTCTCTCTCTCTCTCTCTCTCTCTCTCTCTATTTTAGGTGTAGGTATAATATTGTTAATGGGTTTTCATCTTGATGATGGTTATCTTTATATTTGATGACTTAAACTTGACAAAAAATAATAATGGGGCTAATGGGTAGCAAAATCCTTCTATTTAACCCAGAAATGTTATAGGTTTTGGGAGTAATGGGGCTAGTTGGGAATACCAGATTACAGGGTTTAATTTCGAAGTAAACAGAGGTACTAATTTAGGATTGTGTATTTCAACTTGGTCATTTTTTAGTAATTACTTCTAACTATGTTTGAGGTCTGAAGACACTAAACAAGCAAATATAAAATGGTTGTGGGAGTAGGACGTGCAACATCTTATTTCAAAACAGTTGAGCCCCAATGTTCCAAGCTTTGATGTCCGCATCCTTCTTCAGTACACCACTGTGATCTTTCTCATGACAAAAACAAAACCTGGAATATTTTATACCCATAAACAGATTTCCAGAAAAAAACCAATTTCTTACTTCGGAAGATCATAAGGCAGAATGGGATAGAAATTTGATTGAGTCTCAATTCAATTGTTTCTTTTTCATTCTTTTTCTCTGTTGGGAAATTCTGTTTCTTCCACCCTCAATTAAGTACAGTTGGTTTTTAAGGTAATTGCCAAGTTTATCAGTAACACTATGTACAGCATAGTTAGTTGCATTAAACTTGACAGAAAATAATAACTAAATAAATATACACTGATGTTTTTCTTGTGGCATGAATAGGTTGGAAAGGTCAGCGTGGAATGGTTGGCTGTTGAGAAGACAAAAGTTTCTGGGACATTTCCACCCCGCAAACGTGGTTGGACTGGATATGTTGAGAAGGACACCGCTGGCCAGACAAACATATATTCTGTTGAGGTTAGTACTATTATGTCTTCAAAATGTGCAAGATTTTTGCATTCAATGTTGTTTTTCCCTTCTTCTTTTTTTCTTTCCTTTGATGAATGAATGCTTTATTTCTTAATTTTCAAATGTCAAAGTAACATGTGTTGTAGTTGGACAGACAGAATGATAATTATGAAGAAAACTGTAAAATATTCTATTCAGAGTTTGAGTTTAAGAGATAAACTGTTAGATTTACTAGTCAGTAACAAGGATTGCCTGAGTAAACTTATCAATGTCAACAGAAAAATGTAAAACCAAAGTTGACATCTTTTTTCACAAGATATTTTAATAATAGAAATACTTTCAGTTCAGAACCAAACTTCTGGATTCTGTATGTTGGAAAATTTTGAAAGTAAATTTTATTTG